GGGGTGTCAATTCGTGTTTTTGGATCATGTTCGTGTCGGGTTGAGCCATGGGGATAACAAAAAAACTGTCAATCCGAACCCGACCTGAACCCGAAATCTGACTTGAAACCCTCGACCTGAATACGACACGAATTCTTTCAGATCGGGTTCAGGTTGACCTGAATTAGTTTTAGGTCACCCGAAACCTAAGCAAACCCGATACGAACCCGACACGAATAATATAAATATTATTAGTTTAGTTTTAGTCTTAGTTTTATTTTAATATTAGTTTTAGTCTTAGTTTTATTTTAATTTTTATATTATTTTATATTTAGAGAATAATATCAATATTATAAATTAAAATAATAATAATAAAAATTTCAGGTCAACCCGAAACACGAAATCCAAAATCTAACTTGATTTTTATATTTCAGGTTATCAGGTCAACTCGAAACACGATCCGAACACGACACGAATTTTTTTCGTTTCAGGTTCGGATCGACCCGATTTTTTTTAAATCCGAAATACCCAAACCCAAACCTAAAAAATTTCAGGTCGAACGGGTTCGATTTTTCGAGTCGGGTTTACTTTTGACACCCCTAGTCTAATATGATCTTATCGTCAGAACATCAAATTCCAGCAACAACAATATTCTTTCAATTTCTTGCATTATTATAGCACTTCATATTGGTAGTTTTAGCCTTTCTTTTAAAGCAATTCCTATCATCTTCTTCCAGAAATTTTGCCCAGCCTCACCAAGAATTCATCATATATTGATTACTTTGATTTTATTGTCGTCTAATTTAAATTAGCAACGGATAGATCGAATCCGAATATATATATATATATATATTTAAGGTGGATCGAAAATCCACTAAGATCATCGGTGAAACCAGCCTCCAACTCTGGGAGTTGACCGTCAATTTACTATTATCTTACGTCGTTATTTTCATTTCTTTTTTACATGGATGAATAAAAAAAGAAAAAAAAAAAGAATAATAAATTTATAATTAAGAGCAATTTAATATAATTATACACGTAACATTAGAAGATATAATATAAAACAGTCCTCTTGTCCTACAGTAAGTTCGTTACTGTCAAATTCTTGTAGATCAAAAAGTGAGATATATATTCCTTAAAAGCTAGATTTAATGTTTCATCCCTGATAGATACGAGTGTGTTTAGGTTGAGTGAAATTTCCAAGCCAAAGATTTTGAGTAACAACAATTTTATTTTACTATAATTATTATTTTACCATCTCATTTGGTTAGGGACACGGTTATTTAGGTATCGTAGATTAAAATTAAAGTAATATAGATTAGTAAGTTATTAATAATAAATTGTGATATTATTTTATATTTAAGTAGTACTATTGGTATTGTAAAAATAAAAATAAATATTTATGATTAAAAACTTAAAATATATGTAAATATTTTTAGCATTATATCTTAATAAAATATACTTCATCTATCCCACAAAAGATGTCTTGTTGTGAGCTGGTGCGAGAATTAAATAATATTAATATTTAATTGAAAATAAATATAAAGTATAATGTAAAAGACTAAATTACCATTGTTTTTTTTTGAAGGGTTTTTAAAAATAGGTTAGAGTAATAATTAGAAGTAGTTGTGGAAAAGTAAGAATAATTTTGTTGTAAAGTGGGACCACGATTTTTAAATAATAAGGAAATATGACCATTGTTTTGGGACAAACGAAAATAGAAAAAACAAGACAACTCTTTTGGGACGGAGGGAGCATACAATATATACATTTTATTATAAATAATAAAATTTTATATAATATAAATAAAAATTATATATGTATTTATAATTAACTTAAAAATTAGTTTATGAAAAAATAAAAAATTTTAAATGTCTCGAATGCTTTACCGAAGCAATAGGGAATTGTCGAAAGCATCCGTGGCATGCAAATGAACAATAAATGGATTGCAATAAAAATATTTGTTTATTGAGAAGAAAGATATAAATAAAAAAGTTTTGAATGAATCTTATGCGTAAGAAAATTAACAATTTATTATATTTTGTTAAGTAAATTTAAAATAAATAAATTTACAAAAATATAATACTTCCTCCATCCCCTCTAAAGCTCATATTTACATTTTGCATCATTCTACTTAATATTAAAAATATCATTATATTTGTATAATTTTGTGTGCAAATGTTCTTCTATTAGTATTATAATACATAAATAGCCGGACGGAGGTAGTATGTAATATTTCAAAAATCATTGGCAATAGTAAATGATTGATATTTAATTGGGCCAATTCCACCAATTGTGTTTTGGAATTTTAATGTGGTCCATTTCAAAGTTATATGGTAATTCTATACTCTTCATCTTTGTTACAAGGACTATAAATAAATAAATAAGTTATAGATATATATTTTTTATTTTATTTTTTGAAATATAGATATATATTTTTTTGAAAGTTGTATAGTGGTGCTAAAAACCAATTTATAAAACTTTACAACTTATTTGATGAACTAACATAAAGTAGAATACTAAAATTACTAATAATTATTCATAGAGTATTTTTTAGTATATCAATAATTGTTTTTTTTTTTTATTATTATCTTTTTATATCAATAAATTGATATATATATATATTATATTTTTATTTTAATTGTTTTTATTCATTTATGTTAGTGAGTATGTTTAAATAATTACTATTCAAATTATGGTTTTGAATACAATTTGATTAGCTTTATAGTTTCCAAACCATTGATTCCGGTTTCAAGACTATTGATTTATATTAATGATTTGTTTGCCCAAAAATAAAAGAATTCGATATAATTTAATTTTCTATATATATATATATATTATCTTTTTTAAAAAATCAATATTTACTATTCCCCGTCTCATAACAAAATATTCATTTTTTAATTTTAGTTCGTCCTATAACAAAGTATCTATTTCCTTTTTAGTAACTGTACTGTCTACCTAACATTATAAATATCCTTACAACTTACAATATATTACACAAATGTCATTACCTTTATACCACACATACTAATAAGGTTATTTTAGTCATTTTTACTTTATTCCTATTATATACATCCGAATATAATATTAATATTTTTAAAACTACGTGCAAAAAGCAAATGAATATTTAATTATAAGACGGATGGAGTACATGCTGCTATGTGTTTAACATAAAAAATTTTCATATCAAACCAATAAACAAACCAACCCTAATCTTTTTTCAATTTTTTTAATTTTAATTTTTACAATTAACTTTTTGTTAATTCCGGTTTAAAAACAATTTTATAATAATCTTTTATTTTCTTAATTGTAATTTTTACAATTAATTTTCCCATATTAATTCTATAAATCTATGTATTATTGTAAAAAATATTTTAATACTCTCTTAGTTCAAGAGTAAAATTTTTATTTGTCATTTGAATGCATGTCTAAATCAAATTTTTTTATTTTTTTTTCTAAAATAGTAAATCTCAATTAACTATGAAAATATTTTTACTTTTTAATTTTTACATTACTTTTACTTTAAGGTAAGAGATAAATAAATATTATATTATTTTATTACAATACATATCTATAAAATACTAACTTGTGCAAAAATCATATAAATATTGACCATATAAATAATATTTAAATTTTATAAAATAATTAGTTATCACTAATTAAAAATTAAAATTAAAATTAATTAATATTATGTATTACTTCCCCGTCCCAACTTAAAATAGTTTTTTTAAGTCCAAAGTATCTCTTTAAATAATCATACATTAATATTATAATATTTTTAATTTTTATTTAAATTATAAATATATCATTGCATATACAATTATTTTACTTCTATAAAAATATCATCTCTTATACATTTTTATTAATAAAATATTATTATTTTTAATTTACTATAGTTCAAATCAATATTGCTACCTCCGTCAGGTTCGAAGAGTCTCTTTTGTTTTTTGTATATTTAAAATTAATTATTATATCAAATTGTAATACAAATTAAGAAAAAATTAAAAAAATATTTTCATTAGTGTCGTAGAATACTAATAGAATAAAATTTGTAAAAAAAAATTATAAAAATATAAAGATATTTTTAAGGGTGTGTTTGTTTGGGGGATTGGATTAGATTTCTATTATTCATCCCACTTTTTTTCCCCAAAAATATCAAATCAAACACCTATTTTTCATTTTTATATTATACTAAAAATCAATTTTACATTCAAAATATCACATCAACACCTATTTATATCACATCATACAACTATTCAAATTCAAAATTTTTACTATTCAAATCCCAACTCAAAATCCAAACTCCCAAACAAACACACGACGAGGGAGTATAATTTAACGAATAAAGAATTAATATGAGTTTGTTCAATTTTAACAAACCCATTAAAATTAATGTATATTATGATTCTAAAAACAACTAAATCGTCGGTCCACAGTTCGGTAAAAATCTGAACCGAAATGAAACCGCTGAAACTTCAGTTCGGTTCAAAAAAACCGCCGAACTGACCGCCGGTATGATCAGGCCGTTGGGAACCAGATGCGCAAGTCTACTAGCTCCCTCCACCATCCCTCTATGGTTATTTTTCTTTCACTTTTTTTCAAAAAATATACAAATTTCATTTTTTTTTTTAAAAAAAAACCTCAATTCACTTTTTAATTTAAACTTTTCAATATTACAATTATGTATAAATATATTAAAAAAAAGTTTGTTTAGTTAACTCAGTCGTATCCTTGAGTCAGAGAAACTAATAAAAATGATGAGAGGTATTTAACAGATTGATATACTGCTTGATAGTTATTGACAACAGAATCAGAATAGATGCATATGGTGTTTTGCTTAATTGATTCAGAAAGTTTTTTAGAGGTGTTGTTTTTCATCATGCTCGAGTGTGTTCTTATCTCAATTTCAAAAGCAGCACTTAATTATGAAGACTCTCTGCAAAAAGGAAAAGAGGATGAGGAAAGAGGAAAGTGAAAACTCAATCCTGAAATCCAATTTTTTGCCAAATTGCGTTTCTCACCGTGCTCAGATCTCTGCCTTTCAGAGTCCGCCCGATGCCTTCGTGCACAGACAATGACGCGATTCGAGTCCTCGCCAAAAACTCGTGCGGCGGAGTGCGGTTACCGTTTCCGTCGCTGTACACATCGTCGTCGCACTCCTTCCGCCGATTCTCTCTGTACTCGTGCTTCAGTATCTTCGACCAGTCCGGCACGTTCACTGGCGTCGAAGCCGGTGCATTCGATCCTCTCCTCGCGTCCGCCGTCGCCGGCGATGGATTTTTCTTAAAGCTCTGCTTCCGAAACTCCGGCGACTGCGAGCGAGCGGCGGAATTCCAGATCTCTGACTCGTCGAGCTCGGAAATCGCCGAGTCGGTGGTGAGGCGGCGATGATCCGTAGGGAGGAATTTGTAGCTCGCTCCGGCGAAGTTGCGCCTCCACGCCGCCATGCAATACACGACAGAATGAATATGAATCGATCAAGGTTTGCTTCAAACAACAACTATCTATCGCTCTCCTCACGATCGATCGATCGTTCTCGCTGCTCCTTTTACGTTTACTGATTTTCTCTGCGTTGTTGAAATTGGTAACTGTTTGATCTGCTTTTATAGAGGTTGCAGACTTGGAATCGGTAACTCCTCCCACTCTCTCTCTCTCTCTCTCTCCCCCACAGTCAGCTGCATAATCTGCGTGCGCATCTGTTCTCTGCAGTTCGGTTGCATAAGGAGATGTACAATTTTGACTACGATTATACAAATAATAATAATAATAATAATAATAATAATAAAATAATTACAAATTAGTTTCAGGTAAATGCTTAATTATTTTTTTACCAACTCTTTTTTATATCACAAAATTATAAACATGCAGAAAAAACAAATACTAGTACTCCGGCCGTATATAACTTACCATCTCCATTTTTTTCATTTATTTATTTTTCGAAAAAAGTTATATATTCCTCTGTCTCGTATAAAGAGTAATATTTTTTTTGTATGTATATTTTTGAATATTTTTATTATATTAGATTGTAGTAAAAAAAGAGATAAAAATATTTTTATTAGTATTGTGTAATATAAAGATGATGTTATTTGTGTAATATATTGTAAGTTAAAAAGATATTTATTAAGTAGTATATTTACTAAATTAGAAAATGATTCTTTTATTTTGGTAGGAACACATAAAAAATAAAACCTTCTTATGGGACAAAAAATATACATTTTAATTTTTTTAATTATAATTAAATTAATTAGTTATTTTAATTTTAATATAAAATTATTTTTATTATATAATATATTTTTTAATTATTTATTAATTATATCTCTTAAAATTTCGTGTATAAGTAAGAGGTACACTATAGCCGACATCGAACCAGTAATAAATATGTGTATATATACACTGCGGGAGATGGGACATAAAATGACATGACGCATTAACGGTTCGCCACTGAAGGAGGGGCAATTTGGTAAAATCAGCTTACAGAGTGCAGATAAATGCTACTCATTCGTCCCACTTACAGTATCTGCTACACTGTAGACACTGTATTTTATAAAAAGTGTAATTAGTAGATAATTTAAAAAAGTAAAATTTAAAAAATTTAAAATAAAATTAAAGTACGTAATTATTTTCCAAAAAGGGAAAGTGATATGGTACGTGAAATGGAGATAAACGGTAATTTGGACATGAGACGACGGAGGGAGAACTGCTCAGTTGATTTCATTTGGGAAGCAGGATGATGACACGTGTCTGATGGTTCTGGCATCTACTGCCACGTGTACTTGTTTTGGACAGATCAACGGCGACAAAATTGTGAGTTCTACCCCCGTCTGACTCGGTCCTCGGGATTTTGTTTTACATCTCGCCTCGGGAACAAATCTTTACGTCATAACTTCAAGTCACGCTTTTAAATACTTCGTTTCTCAGCTAATTTGTCTTTTTTACTTTAAATACGAAATTTTAGGTATGGTAAAATTAATAATAATTAAAAATATATTAATAAATATAATTATGATTTAATAAAAATAATTATAAATTAATATTAATATGACTAAATAATCTAACTAAAATAAAAAATTACAAATTATAAATTTTAAAATGTGATTAAAGTGTATAATTATATCTCCATAAAAAAAAATAATAAATTATGTAAAACGGACAAAAAAATAAAATAATAAACAAATTAAGTGAGCTGAAATGAATAATTATTAACAAAGACGTGTTTCTACTATTATAATTATAAGGACGTTTTTTGTTTGCAGATTATGTGAATCATAATAGATAACGGATTTGGAATTTAGCCAATTAAATTTATCGTATTATTAATTTTGATAAAATTAATAAATTAACGTTTGATTATTATTTTACATTTGATATTTATTTAAACCAAATGTTACTATTTCTATTATCTTTTTTTTTTAATTTTTAATTAAATTTTTAAAAATATCCTTAATTATTTTTAATTTTTATTATTTTTTAATAAAATATTCATTTCTTTTTAATTTCGGTTCTTGGACGAAAAAAGTATTTTTCTGGAAAGAATATACATATTTTAATTTAAATTTATTTTAAAACTTTATTTTATAAGTTTTAAAATTAAAAAGATTTAATTAGACATATTAGTTATCTAAATTTAATTATAATTATTTATATTATAAAATAAATATTTTCACTAATATATTTTCAATAATTTATTAATCATATCTTTCTAAATTTTCGTATTTAAAGTAACTTGAATACGATAATCAGAATATAGGGAGTAACATATAGGATCTTATTATAAAGATATTTTCGAACTTAATCATTATTTATCACTAATATTTTTTTAAAAAAATATATTATATTAAAATATATTTTTACAAAATATTACATTAATATTAAAAAATTTACTACTATTATTTTAAAAAAAATTATACAAACATTTTATTATATTATATTTTTACAAAATATTACATCAGTATTAATTTTTCTAAATTCAGTATTCAAAATTTTATATTGAAGTGGAACCGTATTCTTTGACTACTATTTTAAAAACATTTGCAAAAACTTGTGATTATAAACGACGGTTTTAGCATAAATAAATATACTACCTTACTCTTATATCTATATATCCATTTGTTTTTCACTCGAAGTTTTAAAAATATTAGTATTATATTAAAATAAAGTAAAAATAAAAGTAAAAAAACTAAATTAATTCTATTAGTATTGTATGATATAAAGACAATGACATTTGTGTAATATATTGTAAATTGGAAGGGTATTTGTAATATTAAGTAGATAGTACAATTACTTAAAAAAAATGAATACTTTGTTAGGGGACAGACCAAAATAAAAAAATAGATATATTGTTAAGAGACGGATGAAGTATAAATTAAAGGGTTTTTTTTTTTTTTTTTTTTTTACTTGACTTTAAAATTTTGATTTAAATAATATTTTAATATATATTTTATATAATAAACTTATATAAGTTTTACTAAAAATACAAATTAATAATGATATTTGCCTTTAAAAGAAAAAAACCAAGCACATCATAAGGTTTTGAAAGATAAGAAGAAAAGTTGAAAATTCATGGATTTGTTGGTTTGTGTCACACCTTATTTGTTCAGTTTTTCCGGTAGATACAATCATTCAAGAAAATTATAATTAATAAATAATTAAAAACTATATTAATAAATATAATTATTATATAATATAAATAATTAAAATTAAATTTATTTATTTTAATTTAAGTAACAAATAATTATCATTAAAATTATGAAATTAAATACTCCTTCATTCCTACCAGAATTGAACCTTTTGGTTAGGGATACGGTATTTAAGGTGAGAATGTTTAATTAGTTAATAATAATTAGTTATGATATAGTAATTAAAAAATATGTTTAAATATTTAAAAATTATATAGCAATTAAAAATATATGCAATATAGATATCATTTTATAGATAATAAAATTTTCTATAATACAAGTAAATAAAAAAATATTTTTATTTATTTATAATTAACATAAATCAATTTATAAAAGATGTGTAGTTTTAAATATAGATAAAAATATTTACTTTTTTGAAGATAGAGGTAAAAATAAAGGGGTTTTGAGTGGGTCCTACGTCATTAATGATATTGTATGTTACGTAGTTAATTAAGTTGATTTATATTTGTTAAATATGTTTTGATTTAATAATTTTTACCGAAAATAAAAAAGGTGTCAATTGTTACTGGACAGACAAAAATGAAAATAGCGTCAATTGTGGTGGGACGGAGGGAGTAAAATATTATCATGTATATAAAATATATTATAAAAAATACTTATAATAATAAAATTTTTTATTAAATAAAATAATAAATTTATTGATATGGATTAAATTTTTTTTGAAGAATATAAAATTCGGTTATGCAATATGAGTAAATAATTGAACAAAATTTTTAATAGGTTCTTAATGTGACGTGACAGATAAAGAATACTCGGGAACTCAAAAATGAGTTATGCATTGAACATGGTCTTATCCTTCATTTTGAGAATGAATTTGCTATGCCACACCGCCAACGTGTGTGCCTTCGTGGCAATTTCAGATCCAGATCATTGAGTCCAAGTAGGTCACTTCTTAAAACATTTTTATATAAACGCTGTGAGTTGCGGTCATTTGCCTGACTTTCAGACAATATCGGCCAAAATTTTTTAATACCAACATTTATCGATGTATTAAGTAAGGCTTTGTTTATTGTATTATTAATTAATCATCTTAAGACTGTAGTTCCAAGGTTAAAAACAGACCACTTTTTAGTGTTTTAGTATGATGTATATATATATATTTTATTTTTTTATGTGAAGTAGAAAACAATTGTATAGGTAATATAAAATTAATATCTTATATTGAATGTTGATATTTTTTAAAGATAAAATATATTATATATATATTGAATATCGTATTAAAAAAAAATTGTCGAAACAACAAACCCCAAATTAAAGTGTAATTCAAGATTTATACAAGTATGTTGTGTCGTTAGCTCATTTATAGGCTTGATCTTTTCTCATTAATTCCCTATAACGTATATGTATGTGTTGGATCCATTCGGAAGTTCCAAAAATATTCGTCAATTTGTCTGTGTGGGTTCCGGAAGTACTCCAAAGAGTCTGTCCGTCGTCGAATTGGAGGCAGCTCCTACGATGGAGCCTGCACAGCTTCGATCTTACACGAGGCTTCGAGCCTAAATGACCGATTTCGATGAAGTTAAACTAACATCTACTAAAAATCGGATAAATCTACTGAAAAGCGGATAAAAATATGCTAGAAACATAAAACCATGTAATTCGAATTAAAATGCCTAAAAACGAAACTAGAACATGAAAAGAAAATAGAGAAAAATACGAATTGATCTTCTTGTGCATGTGTGTGATGTGTTTTTTCCTAATTTTAATCGTAAGATAGACTAACCGCCTTTTCCACTAAAAGGGGCAGTTCTACTTATTCCTCCACCACTCTCAACCGCCTGGTAACCTCCCATTACTACCTCCAACTGCCTGGTAACCTCCTTCTACTACCTCCAACTGTCTGTTAACCTCCTTCCATCAGCTCCTAACCACCTGGTAACCTCATTCCATCAGCTCCTAACCACTTGGTAATTTTTTTCCATCAGTTCCCAACCGCTTCCATTGTCCCTGGACCAAGTTCCACTTGCTCTGAATATCTTCCATTGCCTCTGGACCAGATCTGCCGCT